TGCAGAGAAATTTTTTTTCTTTTTTCTTTTTTAATATTAGAGCTGAAATGATGACTATTTTCAAGATAGTTGTTTAAAAATGCTTATAAAATAAATGCTCTACTTGGCAAAATGATGGAATGCAATTGGAACTGAAAGGATGCTTGCAAGGGAATAAAAATCACTGCAATGTTAAATGGAAATGTCTGGTGTATTTACAAGGAAAGGTATTAGCTCTATGCTTTCTAACACTGCTTCTCATTCCCAGTATCTCAAAGTCTAACTTAGGAAAGATATGAAGAAATCAAAGAGATTTGTAACCCATAAATTTTGAGGATCTAGCGGGTTTACCAGAGGAGAGAGAAAAATCTGATGTAGTGCAACTAACTGCTCTACAGAACTGGTGTAGGTGAAAGTAAGCTTTTAATAAACATCTGCCAGCAAGCACAATGTTGGAATACATGTGGTGGTAAACATTTGGGAATCCATAAGTCTTTCTGGGCTGCATTCCTGTAAATTAATGGAAACAATTTTGATGTATGTCTGGCTAGTGAGCATTTGGCCACCCACGAAGTCATCTGCTTGAAAGCAGCATCTTTGGTATTACTGAGTGCCTATATTTCTAAACAAGCTCTTACTAGAAGTCAGTCCAGCATGGAAGTATTTAGGGGAAGAGAAGTAAAGATCTGGGGTGATACTTGAACTACATTTTTAAGACAAGCAAAAAGCACACAGATTGTTTGACACTCCTGAACTGGAAAATTTTTTGAGGTGATGAATGAAACGTAGGTGAGAGCGGCTTTTACAAACTTGCAGGAGAGTGACTTTGAGGAGATACCTCCCCACCTTTTCATTTCATTTTTTTGTATCTATGTTGGTGACAACGGTGGGAGGATATATCTTCAGAGGGTTTTGACGTTGTGGGTAATGGAGCTGAACACGGTGCTCATTGAAGCCTAGCCAAAAACACAGTTTGTCAAAGACACCCTGTTTGCAAAACAATTAAGTGGACATTGAAAGCACCTTTGTGAACAATCTGTATTTTTAGCAACAGGAAAGAAGGACGGAAAACTCTGTTGCCAAGACGTAATATATGTAATATACATTTCTTCTGGAACTAATTATTATTTTCTGAAACTACTGCAGTTGTATGCTACTGTGACTGAAAAGAGCGAGTGTTGTATAATGTTAACATCAGGAGATAAAGGTTCTGGTTTCAGCCTCTGCAAGAAATTAAAAATGAGTCTAATTCCAGTAGGGTTTAGCCTCACCATCAACACTGGATTGGCTTTTTGACCGTTTTGCCCTCTTTTAAAATTGCCAGCCTGAAAAGATCAAAGAGCTTTGCAGGACTTCAGGAAGTAGACACCTACATTTATTTTTGCTGCAGTGAAAGCTGAGGTAGAAGAGCATGGTAGTCTGATTTTTCTAAGGAGTCCACTCACTTTAATATGTCTAGCAAGAGGGATGTCAGCATGTGAAAGAAACACAAGGTAAATGTCTTTTATGACACCAGTAAGTTCAATTTCTGGATTCAGAGCAGAATATCAAAGCTTGCTTTCACAGCGTATTTTATTTGTGCCTGTATATTTTCCTCAGCAAGAAGATTGCAACCCTGTGGTACATACATAAACATCTAAAACAAAGATCTACAGTGGGTCTTTAAAAAAATGCCTAGATCTGATTTCACAATTACAAGGTATGGATAGTTTCGTGGCCTTTTGAAAGCTGAATATAGAATGTGCAATCTGGAAAAATGGCTGCTGATGTGCCACAGACATTAATTGGTGAATGCGTCATCAGCTTGAGATTTCATTATGTTGCTAAAAACCAGACTCAGTGAAGGGAAGCGCCCTGGAAATCAACTTGTCAGCATGCAAGGTATCCCACATCATCAAGGAGAGTTGCTGGAGCAAAGAGAGCAGGCCAGTATGATCCCAGCTCCTGCTGCTGCTTGCTGGTGTCCGCTGACGCGTGCCAGGTGACTGAATATGAATGGGCTCCGGTGGGAGGGATGGCCTTTTACTTGCAAATATTTCTTCTGCTCTTATGTTGCCCCTCAGCAATAATGGTTGGCTTTTTATAGAACATTGTCTGATTTGTTGGCAACCTTTAGGTATTTTATCGATTTAACATTTCTTCAGAGACTTAATGAAATATATGACCCACGGACAATGTGATTTTTTGAAAGCTGATGCTGAAGTGAGGGGTATATTGCCTGGTTCAAGCTCTGCTGTCTCTTGAGTTCATTAGATGTTGTTTTAAATACAGTTTCTAGTCTGTTTATGAACTACATTTCTTTTTCCACACTTGGTAATGGTGCTGTTTTACACTGCATTCGGTGTGTATTTCAAACCCACTTGCTGAATTGAGTCATTTCACGGTGAAGCAAGCTGAATCCAAGAGAAATATACCTTGGCTAGGACACCGTAGTTCAGTATATCAAAACAAAGTGAGGAACAGGTTGGAGAACTCTCAGAATCCATTGTATTTATTACTTAAAAGTAATGAAGCAAAATGTAGTTGTTTGTGCTCCCTGAATGTTAATCTACCCAGCTGTTGCAAACGGTGAAAGGTGAGAACTGGCTGTAAAAGTTTTGTGTGCAGTTCATCTGGACTAGTTGGCTGGCTACTGAATCACAAACTAATGAGCAGGCAGGACTGGGATTTGGCGCATGATGGAAGCGGGTTCACTACACAAGGGTTTCAGAAATAGCAGCGCAGACCTGAGCAGCCAAGTCTGTGTCGAGGCACAGGTGGGCCACCTTTGAAAGCTTCTGAGCATGCAGCAGCCTTCATGAACCATTTTATGCTAGTGTCTAAATGTAGCTCTAACTCTAGGCTTCTATTTCCGAAAACTCTGGCCCAAGTCGTCAGGGATTTTTAAATTGTGCTGCAAGGGACAAAATGTGTAGAAGAATAAAGATAATTGTATTCACTGTCTTTTGGCAGATGGCTTATAATACCAACGTGTCAGTCTGAGCATCCTTCAGCTCCTGTTCCTGTACATCTGTAACTATCAAAAGAAGATGTGATTGAAGGATCTCCTACTTTCTCCCTCCCCTTACACTTCCTTTCTCTCTCCAAGTATCCCCACAGGTATTAGCAATGCAGCTGCTGCTGTTCAGCCAGTATTGCTGCAGTCTCTGTTCCACACATTCCCCTTTCCCACTGTAGAGATGATGCAAGAAGATATTTGATAAGCTTAAAGTTTCTCCTAGTGAAAGCTTGGGCCAAGAAGCCAGCAGAGAGTTCAGCATGGCAGCAACGTTCCATATCACGCGGGGCATAGCTCAATGGTGGCACTGAATGAGCAGCTCAGAAAACTGGAGTCAGAGCTTGCTGGATTTGGTGGTGGTGTTGTTGCTGGAAGAGAGCACTTGATTAGCAAGAGGTGGCAATAGCTTCACATAGAAACAGAAGGATTTCCAAAACCGATGGGGCAGTTTCACATTAGAGCCAGCACTAGAGCAACACAGGCTGAAAGCAGCAGGCCAGCTGGCCTTTCCGAATCCTGGCACAAGCTGCAAATCACAAGGTCCCCCTCTTACATAAGCAGTCCTACTGTAACACACACGGCTCGTCTCCGAAGAGCTCTAAATAGCCAGGGCTGGAACAGCTCCCGTGTCACCCCAGGTTGCTGCTGACACATGATAAAGTTACACTGGGATAAAAATGCTGTGGTGAATCAGATTGGAGTGTAAACACTAATGCCTTTTTGCACGTTTGCTTAAAGCCAGGTCGTAGCATGCTCTACACAAAAGCAAAGTGTAATAAAGTCTTCTTCATCTTGCTCTGTGCAGTGGCCAACTTCTGCAGCCAGTGAGGACTGCATGCATTGAACAGCTGGCCAGGAGGGCCAGAAGGACCAGACTTACCAACAGAAAGTCTGATGAAAGCCATGCTGTGGTCTGTACCCAACCCTTCAGTGCCAGCAGCAGAACTAAGACCTGTGATAGGCAGCAAATGTTACAGACCCTTCAAAGTAGCTCTGAATTTGTCTGAGGACTTCTCCTAGCACAGGCACTTTGTCCACACTTTCTAACAAATGTAATGTCTTAGAATTGATTCTGATGTTTTATTCTTTAAAGAAGGGAGCAGAGAGGACAATAAAGTTCAATCAAAAGCATTTGTTTTATCAAGTAAATGGGTAATTGTGACATTTGATGTTCATAAGAGACTATTTCTTGAACATTTGCCTAATGATCTCTCCACTTTACAAGTTCTGTTCAGTCTAGTTTAACAGTTCACCACATAATCACTTTCAGCTCTTTGGAAACATTTTATTATTATTGCTGTTATTAGACAGTGCATTCTCTTGGAAATGTCAAGGATGTTGTCAAATATTGTACTAATTTCAGCCTCCTTTGTAACAGCCCTGAACTTTATTAAGAAATGGCATACTGTAAGTAGGTTGTTCCAGCAACCAGCTCCATCCTAAAGGGCAATAGGATCACTTGGATAAGAGTCTGGAGAATCTCTGTATAGTTAGATACTCATCTTAAGGTCCCTTGTAGCCTTATTTTCTTGGATTCCTGGATCAGGCATTTATGCAACGGTATCTTTGCGTTCCAGAGGCATGTTTTTGCCAGTGAATCTGTGCCACCTAACTATAGCTGTCAGACACTTGGCATTCGTCAGGCTCCCTCTGAAGTTAATGAAGGAAGAAACAAGCATCTCTAGGATGCACCCACACACCTATGATTCCTGATCTTAGGATAAGTGGAATTTCCCTTTGAAAAGACTGCCTCTTCCAGCTAGTGAAGGAAACAGAGAAATGACTTAAAATAGACCTTTCATGTCTAACCAGCAGAAGTTGGGTAAAATTAAAGCTGCCAGAAGGAAGTGTAGTTCTGTACCTGACAACTTTATCCAGGTTCCAAAAGTGATAGTACGAATTCATGGACTTGGAAGTAAAAGTACGTTGTTAATGGTTCAAGAAGCTGCAAATTGCTGTTGGCAGTCACGGTACTTTGGGACGGTCTCTACATGTTAATTTTGTTCTTGTTTTCTTCCCAAAGCTCCTAATCCTGGCCCTTGTCAGAGAGAAGATTCTGGCAGGAAGCACCTCTGGCCACACCTGCTGTGACTGCTGTCCCGTTCCTGAATTCCACCTACATTGATCCTTCTTTAGTGTTCACTCAGGTGCAGTCACAAGGAGTAGACGTTATGTGTGTCTGGGGGATTAGTACAAGGACTGCGTATCATCTGAGTTTGCTTTCTGCTTCAAGCAGTCCACAGACAGCATGCCAGCCCTCTACATGAAGTTGGCATTGGGTCCACAGAGTGTGAGCTGGCTTCCTGAATGGATGAGAAGGCAGAAGGCAAGCCAAGTAAAAAAGCTAATTTTCAAAGCCTGTGACTGGAAAATGAAAGACATAGATGTATAAAGAAATAGCAGTATTATAGGTCTAGACAGACATTAATGAGCATGTGCCCTAACGATCATATCAAGGTTATAAGCCACTGCTTATGCACAAGACAAATCTAGCTCATCTAGCTCAAACACCGGCTGTTCAAACTCTGTCCTAATTACAAGATTTATGCCTTTGCCTTTATCCAAAGGGTTGATCTGAAGGAATGAAAGAGTAGTTCAAGCTCTAAGTCCCCTTGCTTCTTGTTCTCATTACCATAAAGGTACGGGTGCCTGTTAGATTTGGTCAGATGTTTTTATAATTAAAGATTTAAACTTTAAAAGTGAAGGGAATCTCTTACACTTTGGAACCTTTGGTTGCTCCATCAAATATTGTTTGTGATCTTCATAATGAAATGAATACAGCAGGGTGCCAGAATACTTCTACTAATTTGCCCTCAGGATTTTCTGCACTTGATCTCTGTTTTTGTTTTAAAACATTGCTTTCCTGTGGTGCACTGTTTTGCGAAGTTCTGGCAGTGTCATCTTCAGATAGTAGTTCAGATACTAGTCCTGAGTCCTCTACAGGATAAGGAGTCAAGATATACATGACATGTGGCTGAAACTCCTCTGAATCTGCCAGCACCTCTGCCACTTTTCCTAGGGTCAGTAAGGAGAAATGGTGGCTAATTTTGTGTGTTTATGGCAGGGCACACAGAGCTTTTCATTAATTCAGAAACTGGTTTTCCTCCTTTTAGAGTTTCCTGGTCTATCAGAGTGTTGAGGGCTCAAGGTTTCTGATTTATACCAAAATATCTTTAAAATACCCAGGAAAAAAAGTTGTCCCACTAGATTTGGTAGGAAAAATCTCAACTGTACCCCAAGTGGAGCTACAAATATCTCTCCTCTAGCACCCCTAATTGCATAGACGCTCTTATCCTTTCCTCTCTTCCTTCTCCTGCCTTCTTTTCAAATACACTCCCATTTTCTTGTGGATATTTCTTCCCCTCAGCAGTCCCTTGAACGCTTTACGTGCTCTGCCCTCCCTCGACAGGTGGGACCGCTTGGTGGTGTTTTGTGCTGGGGCAGCTTGCTCACTGCCCGACCTGTCCTGGCAGGTGGGGTGTCCTTCGGAGAGAGGTGAAGAGGCACTGCTGGCCTTGCACGCAGAGATCAGTCATTTCCTTGCCAGTAGAGCAGTGGCTTTAGAGCTCATTCATTGCCTGCCTACTGAGACTGACAGTTCAGATTATTGTGTACGTTCAGAGAGAGCTAGGAAGCACATAACTAGTTTCCCGTGCCTTGGAAGTTACTCCTTTTATGACACTTTCTCTGCTAGATAGACATAGACTTTTTATATGAAGAAAATAAATCAGTATGTGTTTGTTTTGAGAATACAACATTGTGGAATAGATTTAATTTCATTGCAGCATTACCAACATTGATAGCAAATATCTTTAAGGCAGAACAGAAGGGAAATGCATTTCTTCTTTTTTTTTTTTTTCTTGTCTTCAGATTGTTTTTTCTCCTATTTGATCCTGCTTCTATAGACGGAGAGCCTTTGTGCGAGGCAACTTCAGCTCTCATCAGATTACTCAGTGCTTAGCAAGACTGGAGTTTAATGGGTGCTATATAGAATGGAGGGTTAACATCACTTTGTGCTCCTCCATGACAGCATTATTTTCACATTCAAATCCTTGAAAAATGTTCTTGCATGCTGGCTAGGCCAAAAACTGGATTGCACTTTAAGATGATCTATGATTCTTTTAAAAATGCCCTACTGAAGGCATTGATGATGGCCATATGTCCAGCAAGGTTAGCGCACCTTTTCAAATTAATGCAAAGTATGAGTCTCTCTTGAATTACAGGCATTTTATGGAGCACAGGTGCACTCGATGCTTTTGGGATACTATGTTTCTGCTCTGTTCCACCTAAGCAGACAAACAGAATTGAAAATAAAATCCTCTGGAACACATAAAAAACATGCACATTGCTTTTATGGCCCTGGCTGTACCAGAGTGAAGAGGCACAGCATGAATTCACTTGCTTACCAGAACTAATCCTAAGGACACTTGTGCAAATGGGCAGGTTTAAGAGGAATTCACAACACCCCTCTGTTTAAAAGTCTTTATTAAAACAAATATTATCCTGCTTACCTGTAACATCTCGGCAGGTTTTCAGAAGGGTATCCATATTTATCCTAACCACTTGGGAGGAAATTCAGCTCCATTTGAGAGGCAAGAAGGTATAGACAACCATTTATGTCTCACTTAGAGCCTTGTTTTGAAGGTTTAAGTGCAATTTTCTATACGGAGATGAATTTGATTCTCTGGTAGTTTTAAGAGTGCTGTTAAAATTGGCTATATGTCACACTGAAGGAACAGCTCATCTCATGGTCTCTGTTAAGTTCCTTTACCTGTTCTACATGTACAATACCTCTAAAACCTGGAACAAAATTGCATCCTCCTTCCATCCCTCCTTTAATAAGAAATAGACCATATTTGGTTGGTCAGAACAATTCTTGAGTTTGAGAGCAATTCCACAATTATGTTGGCTAAGGCAAGCAAACAAATGAAAAAGATAGTGGAAATGACAAGAATGGTTCTGATATTGTCCAAACATGAGTACTTCAGCATTAGAAATTTGATTCAGGAAATTGGATACTGCTTGCCATAACAAAAAAGAAAGGGGGGGTGGAGGGAGGAGGGAAGGTGTGTGCCTTTGTTTTCTCCATTAATATCCCATATTCCAATGGTTCTTGCTTGGAGTTTAGATAAGGAGGTTTCTAATCCAAGCCAAACCTAAATCACAGCAGTGGCTCTCATGTCTTGGAACAGCCTTTGTTACTCATCTCTAGGACACTGTGTGCTGGCTTCCTCCCATGGGAACATCTTTCTGTGCAGTAATACAGAAACATACATCAGAGCAGAAAAGCAAGGCCAGATAGCATTTTTACAAGAGAGCTGGGTCATAGAATCATAGAATATCCTGAGTTGGAAGGGACCCTTAAGGATCATCAAGTCCAACTCTTGACACCGCACAGGTCTACCCAAGTTCAGACCATGTGACTAAGTGCACAGTCCAATCTCTTCTTAAATTCAGTCAGGCTCGGTGCAGTGACCACTTCCCTGGGGAGCCTGTTCCAGTGTGCAACCACTCTCTCTGTCCATCCAGAGTGACTCTTACTGTTCTTCTCTTGTTAAACAATTATTTTAATATGTTCCATATTAAAAATAATTTTCAAGTTAAATAACAATAGTTAAGTGTTGAGTCAATATTTTTCCCCATTTTTTGGTTTGGTGGCTGAACCAGAAAAAAAATAATTATTATTTTTTAAAAATGTTATTCATGACTCAAGACAGAACAGCTTTCGAAGAATATGCTTTTAGCAATGTACATATTAATTATGATGTGCACTAGTAAGTGCTAGAGTAGGAAGTTTTGAGCAGGTTAAATAATAGTTTAAATAGAGTATATTACACAGACATAGCTATTTCAGTAGCAAACTCCCACCAAAGGTAAAAACCAACGTAAAACCATACAGACTTTCCATTAACAAGATATAGCTGAATCACCGTAATAGATTGCAGGGATAATAGAAATGGCCAGCAAAAAATATTTGGTAAATCATTTCCAGTTTCCCAGGAACCTGGGCATAATAAGCGAGCTAAGAACAGGGTATGTTAAAATAATTAAGATAAACCAAGCTCTGAGCAGCCCTTAGCTCTGGGTTCAGTGAAAATTATGTCATTAAAACAAGAGGCTGGAGGGAGAACCATGAATATCTACAGAGCTGGTTCTCCTCTGCTGCAGCTCTAGCTTCTTTTTTTGGCTATGGCAATAAGAAGACAAAACTCAGTGCCTGCAAAATGGATCTGGTGATGATAATTATTGAAATCCAGCTGTGCTATTTCCTTTGTTCAACTCCTATTACATAATATCTTTCTGCAAATTCCCAAGATGAATTCCTTTTCATACACACTTTTAACTTTGGTGTAGAACTAATACTTTTCATGTTGTGTCTCTGAAAATTTGCTGAAGTAGGAAAAATTGCACAGCTTTTGCATTTCTTTTGTTCTGGGAAGGTCTCCAAAAATCTGTTCCTTAATACAGGCTAATTTCCCCCTTGCCCAACCTCTACCCCCAGCATTTACAACTCTCCTCTGTCTGGCAAGTCTATTATGTTTAAAATTAAACTTCTGTTAGCATTTTGGGTAGCATTTCCCAGTTGTCTTGTAAGGGCTCTCTCCCATACAAGGTATTCTCTTTTTAAAGGTTGTACCAGCTGTCTTAGATGAAGGTTACTATATACCAGATACACCCTCCTGGCCTCTCACCCACAAGAAACAACTTTAAAGCCTTCTACTCGAATTGTTACCACTTCCATTTGGTTGACAAGCATGTTTTAAAAGTGGACTGTCATTTCTTTCTTCTCTTCTTTCTCCCTGCTCTTTTCATTCCCTCCCCCACCAAGTCCATTTGTGATATGCTTGTGGAGTTGTTCTTCTGCTTCATTAGAGCATTGTTTTTTTTAGGTTAATTTACCTAATTCCCAGTCAAATGAGGACATGGTACTTGTAAATCATTTAGTTTCTCATTAATCTCTTCCAGTGTTGGCTCCAATTTTCAGCTGTCTCCCTGTTTACTATCTCTAGCGAAAAATATCCACCGTTCCCATCGCTTGTCACAAGTAATGTCACGGTTGCTGTGGATCCATTGACCTGCATAATCAACATTTTTTTTTATATTAGAAATCAAAATATTTGCTGCTGCTGTAGAAAGCTGCATCTTAAGACCCATGCAAAGAAATTCAGTAAATGAAATGCAATAAACCAAAGATCTAAAGCTTACCCTGTTACTTCATGCCAAATCTTATTCATTAGATTTTCTTTAACAATAGCTGTTGAATTTTAAGATGCTGTTTAGAAGAGCAGAAATCCTGCGAGCTGCATCCTTATGCCTTGATACCTCTCTGGCAGAGATCCCACTGAGAAGAGGGGAACAAGGACTCGGCATTCATTTGCGAGATGCAAGTATCCAGCTACAGTCAAGCGCGGAGATAAAGAATTCTCTGCGGCTGTCCTCTACCATAAAACAGTAGTATCACATCTGACTTACAAGCTATTTACACATAGATTGGCAGGCCAGGCGGGGTGCCTGCTCACATTGCAAACTAGCAAGAAAATTTTCTCCTGAAATGAAGAAACGCTTTTCATGGCAATGGGTTGTGCTCCCCATCGCAGGTCAGCACCAAACAGGGCCTAGG